CGTGCCCCCTGCGAGCCCACCCACCTCCCGGCACACAGATGACTGGGCCGGACCTGTGCTTCAGACCCTTCAAGAGTTCTCAGTAAGGGCTTCTCCTTCTCCTTCTCCCTCCTCCTCCTCTTTGAATTGCACCCCTGAGCCCCATCCCCAGCCCTTTCACTTTTTTACTTAGAGACAGGGTCTCACTAATTGCTCAGGGCCTTGCTAAATTGCTGAGGCTGGCTTTGAACTCGCTCTCCTCCTGCCTCAGCCTCCTGAGCCGCTGGGATGACAGGTGTGGGCCACCGTGCAGGGCTAGGAAGGGCTTCTTGTGAACAAAGACTCTCCTTTAGGAGCTCAGAAGATCCCAGGGGTCTTAGGGGCTCTGTGCCAGGAGCAAGGGATAAAGACATGTGGAGTCGACATGCTTTAACCTTGGCGCACGCTCCACCCTGGAAGACCTGCACCTTGCTCTTTGTAGTCAAGCAGGGTGTCCTCTTCTGGGACTGGAGCTCCGGCTTCTTTAACTCAGAATGACTATTTTGAGATTTACTTTTGTTGTTCATGTGTGGCTGGTTTATTCCTTTATTAGGTCCAAGAAACTCCCTGTCCTGAGAGTCCCATTTCCAGATCCCGTCATCTAGAGTGGGCACTGGCATTGATTCCTGTTTTTTTTTTTTAATATTTATTTTTCGGTTGTAGATGGAACCATACCTTTATTTTATTTATTTATTTTTATGTGGTGCTGAGGATTGAACCCAGGGCCTCGCACGTGCTAGGTGAGCACTCTCCCGCTGAGCCCCAGCCCCTTGATCCCTGTTTTTGACGTCTGAGATGAAGCTGCTGAGAGTATTCATGTGCATAGCTTTGTATGGACGCATCATTTCCTTTTTCTGGGTAAATACCCAGGAGTGGAGTGGGTGGGTCACATGGTAGATGTAGCCAGGCACTTTTCCAAAGCGGGTGCCCTATTTTACATTCCCACCAGCAGTGCAGGAGAAGTTCAGTTGTTCTGTGTCCTTGCCAACAGTTGGTATGGTCCTTTGTATTGTAGCCACACTTTCCAATAGCATGTGTAGAGGGATCTCACTTGATTTTTGGTGCCTCGCCCCAGTGAGCACCATGTCAACTGTCTCCATGTGCCTAGTTGTCCTCCATTGATCTTCTTTCCTGAAGTGTCCATTCAGATAATTTCCCAATTTTATTGGATATTTTTGTTTTCTTGTTCTTGAATTTTAACAGATCTTTATATATGTTGGATCCAGATCCTTAATCAGGGTATGATTTGCCAGTATTTTCTCTCTGTCTGGGCTTACGTTTTCATTCTCTGAAGTGCTCTTCTGAGGAACAGAGTTTCTCATTTTGGTGAAATCTAATCAATCCTTGTCTTTGGTTGGTGATTTTGTGTTGTGTCTGAAGTCTTTGTTTGACCCAGTCACAAAGATTTTTTCATTTGTTTCCTTTAAAAGGTTTTGTAGTTTTAGGCTTCGTACTTAAATCTAAGATACATATGAAATTACTCATTCTATGTAGCACGGGGAAGCAGCTACCTTCTTTCAACTAAAAATTAAATGTGAAATATTTAAAATGCAAATAGGAACCGAATAGTACAACAAAAAAAAAATTATTAGTAGAGTGTAATAGTCAAGAACTGTAGGGAGGAGATACGAGCATGGGACAGATTCCTAGGGTGGTTAGACAATTTCTCTTCTTTTGGCAGCGCTGGGGATGGAACTCAGGGCCTCACATGTGCTGCGAGTGCTATCCCTGAGTGACAGCCCCAGCCCCAAATTAGATTTTTATTTTTTGTTTCATTCTTAAATCATTTTATTGGCTCATAATAGTTATGCATAACATTGGGATTCATTTTGACACAATCACAAATGCATGGAATAGAATTCCAGTGCTTACCCTTACCTTCCCCTCTGCCTTTCCTCTGTTCCCGCTCCTCAACCGATCTTTCCATTTATTTACATTTTAAAAATTGGTGTCTTGTGGCTGGGCGCGTTGGCACACGCCTGTCATCCCAGCAGCTCCGGAGGCTGAGACAGGAGGATTGAGAGTTCAAAGCCAGCCTCAGCCACAGCAAGGTGCTAAGCAACTCAGTGAGACCCTGTCTCTAAATAAATCACAGAATAGGGCTGGGGTGGGGCTCAGGAGTTGAGTGCCCCTGAGTTCAATCTCTGGTACTCAAAGAAGAAAACAAAAATTGGTGTGTTGGGGATGTCCATAATGTTGGGATTCACTGTGGTGGGCTCATGTATGTCATTGGAAGCAGATTCTTCCCGCTGTCCTTCCCTGTTCCTGTCCCTCCACCCCCCGATGCCCTTGTACTGGATCTTTCTTTTATTTTGACAGAATTCCCACTTCTTTTCTGTCTCCCTGCCAGCCCCCTTACTTTGGCCTAGCTTCTGCAAGTCAGAGGAAACATCCCACTGTGCGCTCTCAGGGCCATTTCACTTAGCATGGTGGTCACCAGTCCCTTCCGCTTACCAGCCAACGCCATCATTTCATTCTTTTTAATGGCAGCTTTCAAAATAAAACACAGTGCCCTGCAGGGAAGGGCCTGTTGATGCCAGAGACAGAGTCAGAAGGAGCAGTGGACGGAGTCACCGTTGCAGTTGGGGACTCCAGCCCTCTCCTCTCAGTCACGTATGGAAGGAGGACACAGAAAATCAGTGAGAACACAGAAAAATCTCTGGACACCATCAGCCAGCTGGACCCAGTTGACATTCACCCATGGGTCCGTCCCACGACAGCACTCACATTCTGTTCAAACCTGCACGAAATACTCCACAAGCCCCATCCCATTCCAACCAAGGAAACGAACGTCTGTAAATCTGGAAAGAACCGACGCGTTCAGCATAGGCTCCATGGACACCAAAGAACTAAACTGAAACCCAATAACTGAAAGGCAACTGGAAGTCTCCACGTGTTTGGAAATGAAGCCACACAGGTCAAGGAACAAGGACCAAGGGAAATTAGAAAATAATTTGAATTGAAAGGAAATGAAAATAGAATGAATCATTATCCATGAGGTGCAGCTCAGTCCATGCCTAGAAGGAATCCCGGGCTTTAAACGCTTGCATTAGAAATATTTGAATTTGTCAATCCACCTTCTTAAGAAGTTAGCAAAACAGCACTTCAGACAATACAGTGTTTATGAAAGGAGAATCCTAAAGATCAATGCCACGGGTCAGTCCAAAGGTAGACCTGCAGGTTCTGGGTGTTGAACCAACCGAGGGCCAAGATGATTGAGTCAGGAGGGATGACCTTTTCAACAAGTGACCCTGGGACACTTAGGGATTATCAAAAGACCAGAAATGACGATTCCTGCCTTATACTATGCACAAAAATCAGCCTGAAATGGAAATTAGACCTGAATGTAGAAGCTAAAACTCCTAGAGGAAAATTCAGATTAAAATCTTCATGACCTTGGGGTGTCATGACTTCTTAGCATAGCGTCCATCAAAGAAATAACCAAGAAACCGACAGAAGAGCTTAAATATTCCACTCTTGGTAGGACTCCCTGAGGAAAATGGAGAGCTAAGGCACTACCTGGGAGAGAATATCAGCATCACGGAATCTGACGTAGCCCTTCTCGCCAGGCTACATAGAGACATCTCACCACTGAACAATCAGTTCCACTAAAAGGCAAAAGATTTGACTACACACGTCATAAAAGAAGGTATATGAATTCCAATAATGGTGTACCCACACACTCATTGCCGTTATCCATTAAGGAAATGAAAGTTAAAAGACAAATTAAAATAGGATAGTGCTACATGCTCAACAGAGTGGCTAAATGTAAAAAGATGAGCAACCCAAGTGTTGGCAAGAACACGGAGCCCTGGAGCCGTCCTGCACTGTCGATGGGAATGTAAAGTGGGAGCCCAGCTTGGAACAGAGGTGGTCCCGCCACTCCCCAGGATGTAAAATACACCACGTGACCAACAATTTCAATTTGGGGCTGTTGACCCTAAGACATGGAAACGCACACCCATAAGTTGATGAATACACAGATATTTGAGGCACCTTTATTCCTGATAGCCCCCCACTGGAAGCATCGCGCGGATGTCCATCAACAGGCGGATGCGTGAATCGACTGTGGGCTAATCAGAGTAGCACGCTCCGTGCCATGGAAAGGGGCTGAGGGGTGGCTCACAGCAGGTGGGTGAAGCTCACTTCTGACGGGTGAGAACCAGACACGGAAGACCCATCGCATCCTGCCCTCTGCCTAGAAGTCTAGAACTGGAGCACATAACCTGTGTGGACAGAGGGCAGACCAGTCCCTGCCTGGAGTCTAGAATATGGGAAATGCAAAGGGGCACCTTTTTTAGGAAGGGGTTGGAAGGTTTTGTACCTGCTATAGGAGGGTAGTTGCAAGGGCGTATTTGTGAAGACTCATCGAACAATAAACACTGAATGCACATTTAATCATGTTTAAATTACACCTTGGTTAGTGTTAAGAGTGATGCTGAATCCTTGTTCATTTCCGCTGTCTGGATAGTGGAGATTCTATCTTCCCCTTATTCCATTTGAATAAACACTTATTGAATAATCCATCTCTTCTCAATTTTTGCATCTTGCTGCTTCTGTTCTACATTAAAGCTCAACGCAGCTGGGCGCCATGGTACACACCTGTGACCCAGCAGCTCCTCTGTATATATGTGAAACGTTTGTTTCAGAAAGAAGCTCATGAAGTGACAAGCAGGACCTGTGCATGTGTGTCGTGCGCCCAGGGCTGTGTGTGTTGGTGTGTGTGTGTTGGTGTGTGTGCACACACAGGCACATAGACTATTTTGGAGGGCAAAGGGTCTTCAGGGTCCCCAGGGGTGCTATGGCGTTCCCACCTGGAAGCCTGGCTTAGATCTGCTCAGCCATGTCACCGGCCCCTGTGACAGCAGGAAGGGTCTCCCCTAAAGCGAGTGTCTTGGGAAGGCCCCCCTCCCTGCTCCCTTCTGGGCATGGTTGTCACAGTGAGGTCCGTGTTGTTAAAGATGTGCCGTCTTCTCTTTCAGTATCCGGAATGTGATGCAGAAGTATCTCGAGGAGAGAAATGAGATAACCTTCGACAAGATTTTCAATCAGAGAATCGGTGAGTCCTGCTGCTCACGTGGCCTGCGGTGACTGCAGTGGTGAAGTCAGACAGGGCTGTGTGATTTATAGATATAACCCCTGGCGCTTTTGTAGCCTTCCTAGCTATTTATTGGTGGGAATGGAGGAGATTTTGTGCACCTAGTAGGGGTCTAATGCTTACTTGTGTTTCTCATAACACGTCCTGTGAATGAGCTGCTAGGAAACAGACTAGTTCAGCTGGGTTTTAAGTCTCCTTGGGGGCTGGTTGCCCAAAATCAAAGTGGAGCTGAACACAGAGGTTCACCTCTTGAGGGGTGCAGAGCTGATAAGCAGAGCCAGGAAGTGAAGGGCGGAGGGCTTGACTACTTGCAGCATGGGAGGGGTGCACTGGGTACTTCCCAAAGTGCGACTCCCTGAACAGAGAGGGCATGTGTCCCTGGGCATCCTGGGAAGACTCAGCATCTCGAAAGAGGTGCGCACACTCCTGGGCACGCTTAATTCAAGATCAGGCTTCTTCGTGCATCACATATTCAAAGACGGGGGACAGGAACACCCCGGGACCGAGAAGCATCTAGTGAGGTGATTGTCAGCAGAGTTCACACTAGGTCACTAGAAGACTGAGGGGGCGACTTTGGCTGGTGTGAGCGGCTCCTTGTCCTGTTCTCTGGAGGCCTTATCAGAAGCAAAAACACCTGGGGGGGGGGGGTTGGTATGCACCTACAGGGTGCAGCTGCTCCTGGACGTTCCCACTGTCCAGGCAAAGGATGGAGCTCCTGGTAGCCAGGAAAGAGGCTCTCTCTGGGTCCCTGGGCCCTGGTGTGGGGCTCCCCTCCCTCATACTCAGAGATCCTCAGCCTCTCTCCTGCTTCTGGCTTTGCATGGCTGTTGGAGAGGGGGGATGACACGCGTCTCCCCAAGGGCGGCTGTCTCCTCCAGTGTGTGGGGCTCTGTCACTGGACGCCATTGGTTTCCGTGGTGGGTGGTCTCTTATCTCTTCCTGATCATCAGGTCCACTGTGCCGCTCTTACCCCTGTAGGTCATTCAACTTTCTACTCTGTGGGTCACAAGGACGCCACCTGTATGGACACAGATCAGGGACCATCTCTTCCTGGTCATGCCCAATCCTAACCAGTGCTGGTCTCTTCTGGTGCACGGGTGCAGGGGTGTCCAGGTGTCCTGGTGTAGGTGTCCTGGGGTGCAGGGGGTGCTGGGGTGCTGGGGTGCAGAAGTTTCTAGGTGTCGTGGTGCAAGTGTCCTGGGGTGCAGATATTCTGGGGTGCAGGGGTTCCTGATGTCATGGTGCTGTGGTGCAGGTGTCCTGGGGTGCAGGGGTGCTCTGGTTCACTAACAGTGCTCAGGGAGGCAGGGTTGCTCGGGAACTCTGTAATGTGGCGTTCCAGGGCTGGTGAAGCCCCCAACTGCCACCATCATTCCCTGTGACCACAGCCCTCTAAGCCCATGAGGTACCTGGGCTCATCCACCTTCCAGAGCTGGTTGTCTGTCTACGGGCATTGCCCTCTGGTCAGGTTAGACCTACAGCCCTTTTGCCACCTTCTTGTTTTCGGTCCCTGTAGAGAGTTCCTACTGTCCATGCGTTTCCTGAACACACTTCCCCCTCAGCCAGGGCTGGGTTGCCGGGGGGCCTTCCTGGTAGCCCAGCTGCCTGCAGCGCTGACTCCGGTGCAGGCTGGTCCAGGGTCTGCAGGTGCAGTCAGCGGGTGGGGTGCTGGGTGTTCCTCCCCTCTGTGCCTGGCTTGCCACCCACACCACTTGGAGGGTTTGCCGGGGAGCGTGGATCTCAGCTTTTAAATTATTTTATGGCTGGAGGAAATGACTTTATTAAAATTCTAAGAAATCACAGTTCCCTGGAACTCCATTTGTGTATTCAGTCAGCCCTGCACGTCCATGAATTCTGCATCCACAAAATCTCCCGACCACAGCTGGAGAAAATCACCAATCGTTGTCTGGGCTCCTAATGCACAGTGTCACAGTCAGGCTCCTAACCACTCTGCATGACAGCCCTGTCCAAAGCATTCACGTAGTTTAAGGGATCTAGAGGTGGTGCAGAGTGCGTGGGAGATGAGCAGAGTTCACGGGCAGATCCTGTGCCTTTTAATGTGGAAACGGGACTTCAGCATCCACAGAGGTTGGTGTCTGCAGGGGTCCTGAGACTGCTCCCCCTTGGGCAGCGAGGCTGATGTGCTTCTGTCCCCAGAAGTCATGGAGACTGCCAGGTCTCTGTGAGACCAGTTTCTTCTAGATCCTTCTGGGCTTTCTTTGCTGGTGAGAGAGTGTAGACTGACCCAAGGGAGGGAAGTGGCTTAGGATCCCCAGTTCTCCTTGATTTTTAAAGAGTCCCTGGTAAAGAGTGGCCGCTGGCGCTGGGGTGGAGTAGCAGGCGGGGTGTGGCCTACCTGTGCTCTGAGGGGAGCCTGTGGCAAGCTAATGTCCCCACTGCATAGACAGAGTTCACCCTGTGCCTCAGGTTGTGGCCGGGAGCAGAGGAGTGGACGGTCTGCTCTCCTGTTGTTCTCTCATTATTTTTGTGGTGTTTGGTTCACTCTCATCTATGTGAAATGCTTTTTTTGCTCTTGATTTTGAACTAAAAACCTTTGCAAGGGAAGGGAAAGTAATTATCCTCCCATGGTTAGTCAAAAATTGCAAATTTCTTTGCGGGTTCATTGAGATGCATTTCTTAGAGTGTGAACTCCACCCGCTGGACGCCCCAGCTCCCCGCCCAGCTCCCTGTGTTGGGTGGGTCAGGAGCACAGAGCGGCTCCACTGTCAGATTTTACAACCTCTTCATCACTCTCCAAAGAGTCTCTGCGCCCACCCGTCCCCCTTCCTGGCCCAGCCCCTGGCAACCACTGATCCACTTCCTGCCTCTGTGGGATGCGGCACAAGTGGCCTTTTGACTCGGCGACCCCCTGTGCCACGTCTTCCCTGTTTGCCTGGGTCTGCCTGCGCCAGAGCTCTGCGTGGTGTGGCTGTGCCGTGTCCTGGTTATCCATGGTCAGCTGAGGGATGCTGGGGCTGCTCCTGCTCGGTGGCCTGTGAATAGATGCTGCTGTGGAAGGAGGGAGGCTCCCCATTCAGACCCAACTGGTTGACGGCGGTGACACTGCCGCCCCAGCACCTGCCAGCCTCTGCAGTGCACTGCGGGCCAGTGGTTCTTCCTCTGTGTCCTCTGTCCCTCTCTCCTTTGAGGTCCCCTCTCATCAGTGCCCCCTGGCACACCTCCAGCCCCCAGTGTGTCTTCTCCACAGTTGGTGTCACAGCCTGGCACAGGCACCGGTGCCAGGCAGAGGTGGAACGCAAAAGGACAGGCCAGATAGGACACATGTTGACAGGGCAGGGTCCAGCCCGTCACTCATCCCCTCTCCAAGGCCCCACCCGCCACCATCCTTCCCTGTGACCACTGCCCTCCAAGTCAGAACTCAGCTTCTCCTGACCAGCTCCAAGCTCAGGCCCTCGGCAGGCCTCGGTGTAGGAATCTCCCCAAACTGTTGATGAACACATTTCATCAGGTGCGACAGTGGACTGCAGCAGTGAGCCCACGTGTGTACACCTGTGTAGGGGGTGTGGATAAACACGCGTGTACACACACACACACACACATTTATTTAAGCCACTGAGAATCAACAGCTTTCAACATTTTATTATCCTTGTTTTGTCCATTCTGTCTTTGTGTGTGTGTGTGTGTGTGGTCACTAAAATACTTTAAAGCTATTAAACTATAGCACTTCAGCCCCAGTGGCTTCTCTAAAACCGGGAGAGTGTCCTTATGTCACCACAGCTCTTTTACCCAGCCACAGTGTTCCCAAGGCTTCTTTGTGCGACACTGAGTTTATCTTCAAGTTTTCCTGATTCTCCTAAAAATATCCATGTACTTTTGGTTTTTAATCTGGGTCCAAATAGCCCCCGTCCCACTGTGATGCCCCTCCCTCAGTCCTGCGCAGCCCCGTGCGCACAGGAGAGGGACCTGCCCGGTCTGGAGGCAGCTGAGCTGCGCTGTGTCCCCATGGTCCGCTGACCTGAGGGCTCATCATCTTGGGGGAGAGGCTCGGCAGCGGTGCTGGGAGGGTCGGGCTGGGGTCCCCTCTCTTCCTCACCCTGCTGTCCTCTGCTTCGTGTCTCCCTCCCCTTCTTAGGGAGCTTTCTAACTGTCCTGCTCCTCCTGCCCTTCTGCTGGGACTCCTGAGTCAGGCTGTTCAGGTGGCTGTACACAGTTCCCGCAGCAAGGTCCCTATGGGGCAGGATGGCCGCTGCCCATAGGTGGTACTCCCGGAGCCGTGGCGGAGGAGCCCGCGCACCTGTAAGCAGGTCTTTGCCGGCTCCTCTGCTCTCGCAAGCCCTTTAACAGCGGCCTGTCCCAAGTGGCCGCTGGAAGAGCAGGTCAGAAGACAGATTCGATTTGCTGCTGGCTTTGCAGACGGGGACCACAGGACAGGGGAAGTGAGCATCAGCAGGAGTGAGGGTGATCCCCAGGGACCTCAGTCCTTCCAGCCAGCGGCTGCAGTGAGTTTGGAGCAGCCTGGAGTTCCTAGGTAAGAACCCAGACCTGCGGCACCCGTGCAGCCCACCCGGATTCTGACCCGTGCCTTGAGAGGTGGAAGCGGCTGTTGCTCTTGAGTGTCTTAAGTTTGCAGTGATCTTTACAGAGTGATAGACAACTATAGCCGCAGAAAGTGCCAGGATTCAACACAGAGGGTTAAACAAGAGCTACTGTTGTCCCCCGGCTTCTCCTTGTTGAGAAATCATACATCTTAAGAGATGTCAATCAAGCTGAGTCCTAATTCACTGTTAATAAAACTCACATCTCTCAACATTCTCAGTTTGACTCATGGAGAGGTTGGTTTTAAGGGGATACGGGCTATTGAACAGACCGTAAAATCAACTTATCAGTTACAGCTCAGATTATTTTGCTACTCTTCTCTCCCAGAAGATGTTGAAATAGTGGTTTCATCCTGTGCCAGGGAGGCACATGGCAGGCATCTGATACAATCCATCTGCCTGGGG